ATTTAGGCATGTCATGTAAGTCTTCACTGAGGAAGGGATCTTTATTTCTGTCTTCAGTTCTTAAGAATGTCAGTTCACAGGACATATAAATGCAAAATCTCAGGTTTTAATCTTTGTAACAGACCGGTTACTTCCAGTTTAGGCTTCATGGTTTAGCTCACCAGATTTTGGTTTCGTCTAATGGCAACTTTACTTAACAAAAGGATTTTTCTTCTCAGTCTACAACTGTTTTGTTTCAAAAGGTTTTTCTATCAGAAATTTCATCACCACTCTCTATTTTGCACACAGCTTCTGAGCCGTTCTACCGTAAAATGAGCCGTCAGCTCCTGCTTGTAGCTGAAGGTTACAGGTGAAAATGAAGAGTGTATGAGAAAGAAGTGTCAATGTTTTATCTTTTCAATTCCTCAACATAAATTTCTCTCATATTATGAAGCTTTGTTTGGCAGTACATAATCACCAAAGAGCTGATTTACTGAAAGTTAATAGTCTGGTCATCCTCGGAGGATTGCTAACGTATGTGTGTGGGAGTTGTAATTTCCTAGCATTTTACAGTTGCTAATGTATTAGTGTAAGAGGAATTCCTCATGAAAGCCATCATTTTGGAGTTTCTAGGTATCAGGAAGAATAATATGCAATGGTAACATTTCTATGCTTTCCTCTGTATTCCCTTTGTTTGAGACCATCCAAAAAGTCATGGCCTCTTTCAAGGCTCCAGRGTCAACTTTTTCTCTGTTTGACCTGGACCTATAAATGAATATCATTTGCATCAAATATTTTGTCATCCCCATTTACAATTGATTTATGAATACCTCACTGTCTTGCATGGTTGCTGAGCTCTGGTCATTTCTCCTCCACTTCCAATTTCACCTTTTATTTCCATGGTACTTGCTGCTGCTTYTTCTTCATCTTCATCTTCCCTTCCTTTCTTGTCCCTGGGAATTTCTCCATTAAGTTTGAGCTCTCCTGTTCACCATAAAGAGTCTGGTTCTATGGTTGAACAATCCTCCAGCACCAAAAGATCTTTTTAACCTTCTTCCACCTCCTTTTGAAACCACTTTTACACTTACTTTCCCCCCAGAATAATTTTAATAATTGTTTTCATATCATCATATCTTCCTTGGTCAAATGACCAGTTGGAAAAAATACATTTACATCACAATGTTATGTTACCTTGAGGWGCAGAGCAAGGCAGTAAGAACACTTCTGAAGCCAGAATGTACCTATGCTAATTGTTGGCTCAGAGGTCCCTATATATTTTAATTTCTTGTCCTACTCTTACCCTACAGTGCTTTAATTTTAAATGAAAGATAATAGCTGCCTTATCTCTAAGGAAACTGGTCTTGATTTTATTAACTTACAGGACAGAAGAATAATTGGCACATATCATTGTCCAGAAATGTATTCAACAAAGGTATCTTTCATTGTTTTCTAATGTTTTTATCCTCAGAGACTTAAAATTCAGGTCTTGACCGTTTATGGTCATTAAAGATCCCATGGCACTTTTTTATAGCGTGGTCATCTCAACCCCGAGCACCTGGCCAAATATCAATTTATGTAACTGTTGTGCTTACCCAACATTCCCCACCACCACTCACCCACCCCATAGTTTCAATTGGCTACAACATTCTCCATTTCCTCTAAAATAAAGTGTGTTGTTCTGCACTGTCAGTCACCACATTTCGCCTCAGAGGTGATTGTGCTTCACTGGGAAGTGAAGTGGTTCTTCTTTCTAATGCTTGTAAAGCGCTTTGGGATCCTTCTGAATGGGTGGTGCTGTTTACAACAAACGTAGTTCGCTGTCATTCTATCTCAGGTGTCACTTTGGTACTAAAGCATGTTTTATTTAGAGTTGGGCGAACCTACTTGGTGGAAAAAACATTCCCAGATCTCTCTAATCTGGCAGAGAACCTTTTGTGAAAGGTTGAAGAGTTAGATTAATTTCCTTCTGGGTTTGTTTTGTTGTTTCTCTCTTTCTTTCCTTCAATTTCACATCATTCATTTGCACTTCTGGACTGGAACTTTGGGAGTTCCTTTGGATTGGAAATTGAAAATATAATGAGAAAAGTACAGTTGTGCTTATGGTCAATTCTTTGTTCCAGATGCAGGAGGGTCAGATTGGTGCTCAATAAACACCTGAACTTTGTGGTGTTTACCTGGGTGTTGTAACACTTGAAGGTTCGCCCATCACTAATATTTACTGTATTTTGCATTATTTCTTATGCAAAAGTCTTGGAATATTGAAAAAYGCTGTGCTTCAACTCTGATATGAGTGTGATATGTACACAAGAAGACATTTTGCCCTASAAGATAGTTTAGAGCATTGCTTAATGTTTTTTTCTGCCCAGCATCACTAATCTTACTAACTGCTTCCAAGATTGCCAGATATCTGCAGCATTTTGCTGCATTCAGAAAAAAAAATTAACTGAAGGAGTGATATCATGTCACTGAAACATGTCTGTACCTAACTCTAGCAGACTAAAAGAGCTTTTCTTGCATGTGCATTGCATAGAATGTATGCAAAATATGTAAAGAGCACTCAAATTTCTGATATCATTGCAGATCAAAAGGATAAAATGCTTAAAGTAGATTCATCCTAAGAAGATTTAAGATGTGAAAAAATTTGTTGGCAATAAAACCTTTCTAAAAATAGTATCCTAGAATTCACAACACTGAGGTGGAAGTAACCCAGGCTCTGGGCTGAGGAGTAAACCCATCACAGTAGTGGATGTTATATCAAACTTTCCCTGATGTCACTGGAACTAAAACTTCTATTCAAGAGGTTACATGAGAATATAAAAAATGTAGCTTCCATATGACTTTGCACCCCTCATTTAGGATACTTACCTCTTTTGGTTTTAGACATTTTGGGATCAAATAATACCAAGTGCCTGTAATTCATTGTTTTATYTTTAAGACCTTGATAATCTTATGATTGTTCTGAGATCTAATACCAGAAGTGAGTCCCCTTTTGTTTTACCCCAAAAATCACTTAAGAATTTTCTAATGCAGTCATTAGAAAGAAAATGTTTAAATTCTGTGTTGAGGAGTGTCATAGATCTATTTGAAAGCTTTGCAGATGTTTGCTTTTGCTGGTATTTCAATAGMAGAACAATACTTTTACCTCAGATCTGTCAGATTCAGATGAGAACTGATTTCATGGCCTTCCTGGATAGAAGCAGTGTTCCTTCASTCTGCTCAATATCATGAGCTGAAGTTCTTAAAGGCATTTTCCTTGAGTTCCAGCTCAGCTTTCCCATTTTTCCAGCCCTTCTGAAGTAAAGATTGATTTCTCTAACACACTAGGAATTTCAAAAATTTTGTGGGGCTTTGGTGAAAAGCAAACAAAAATGGAAAATTTTGTCTGTTCCACACAGATGTCATGGCATTTAATTTAAAACTAAAATATAATGAAACTAGAGGGGTGCAAACTCACATAGATTGGGGGAAGAAAAARTGAGAGAGAGGGAAATCTGGCATCTCAGCAATGCCAGTTTTTTGTGCATCACTTGACCAGATGTAATCACTCAAATGACAGTGTTTCAGTAGGTCCAAAGTAGCTTTGTGAGCATCTGAACACAGTTCATGACACTGTGCAGAGGGAGCTACTAAAAAGCAACTGTTTCAAACCCATTTCTCTTACCTTGCCCTGGTAAATATTACATAGAGGGTTTAATAATGGCAAACCAGTGTACCCTGGGCAGTGCAGGGAGGTACCTGCTGCTGACAGCTGGTTTCTAAATATTGCAGAATACTCTAATACCATGTAATTGCTTAGAAATCCACAAAAGTCACAGTTTGTGCACTTTGAGTAATAATCATGGAATATATTCTGTATGTGATAAATGAATAATGTGGCTGAGTTATTCTGAAAGGAGCTCTGGGACAGTTTTGTCTCTTATTTGGCCCGGAGAATATCTGCACTGCCATCACTAATTCAGTGTAATTAATTMGCTCCTCATTAGCTATTATTATTTTTAAAGTACTTTTAGTTAATTATAATCTGTTATCACACAATTCAAAATATATATTTAGAGGGAAGTCTGAGGAGAATTAGAACTTCCTAAATAACTCATATTTGTTTTCTATAAATGGATTATTTTTRAAATCTCCTACCAYGCTTCAGATCTACTCCAGATTGCCTAAGAGTAGAATTTAGTTCCTTATCTTTGAAATMCTCTTGATTGTCTAAGGGGTTTCTTTACAATATTGCTTTAATATTTTTTTTTTTCGCTGAACTGCCTATAAGAATGCAGAGTAGCTAAATCTACCCATTGAAACAACTGTTCAATGTACATTTGATGTGATTACATTCTGCATATCTTTTTCCTTGCTTGAAATTGCAGATCTCTGCTATTGCAGCAGCGAGGTCTCCACAGCATGCGCTGTATTTATGAAATTCATTAGCACTGGGGAATGGAGCTTCCACGTAGCTGTAGTTAGACCATGCCAGTGCCTTTCCCCTGGTAACCAGCACTCCTGTTTGGAATATRGGGACCTGAAATGTGCATTCTCTTGTGCAGTGCTCTGTGCCTCGTTCATAGAGGCACAGAGACCTTGTGAGTATGGGATGTTTATGTCAGAACAAAAGCTTTCGTTTGAAAGAAGAAAAACCAAAACAAAGATGACCCTTTTCCATTTGAAAATTTCCCTTTTCCATTTCCTTCCAAAACCCCTGTAGAGTTCACTGTTTGCCCCAGATATCCTATCCCATGGCAGAACCCCAYTTTGAGGAGCTGAGCGTGTGCTCTGTTCCCAGGCATTGCTCGTGCTCGTTGAACACCGGGTGTAGGGAAATACCATTACAGTGTTCTGGCCCTATTACTCCTTGAGCTCACAGATAAATGACAATAAAAATAATCACAGCTATGCTGAAAGCCTGYGAGGCTGTCATCCAATAAATTAGTGATGTTAGATCCAACCCTTACCAGCATGGCTTCACGTTGCAACCGGCCGGCCTTCCTTTGCCTCCTGCTAAATCCGCTTTCTGGTTTTTATTCCAGATGGATCCGCACGAAAACATTTTGTTGAGCACACTTGAAATCAAAAACGAGATGGCCGCCTCCGAGGCTGTGATGGGGCTTGGGGACCCTAGGAGCACGATGCTGGCCTATGACACTTCGAGCATCCAGTACCGGAAAGCCGGTTTGCCCAGACACAGCTTCGGCCGCAACGCCCTGGAGCGACACGTGGCACAGAAGAAGAGCAGGCTACGGAGACGCGCGTCCCAGCTGAAAATCACCATCCCTGACTTGACTGATGTCAATGCCATAGATCGATGGTCTCGCATTTTCTTCCCTGTTGTTTTTTCCTTCTTCAATATTGTCTATTGGCTTTACTATGTGAACTAAGAAACAAAGCCACGCGGGAAGCAAGAACTGGATTTCTCTTCAAATCGGTTGTACAGCCAAAAGTGGGACTTAGAAAAATTCTATTCAGGACAAAAAGTTATTTTAAAACACCTTAGTTGCTGGCCCACTCTATGGTCTGTTTTTATAATGTTTTGGTTGTATCTGCTAAACCGTACTTGTGTTAAGTTGCAGTATGGACATATCCCCTTATCAAAATATAAGTGCATTTTTGAGTGTAAAGGCAAATTGGGTTTTGAAAATCACTTTTGTCTCATTGTCCCTCACTCWTTTTTTTTCCTTGTCTTTTTTTTTGTTTGTTTGGTTGGTTTTTTTTAATGACCATTTGAGTTTAGTGGTACAAATTATAGAGCAGCATTTGAGAAACAAGTTTGAATTTCAACAGCAGTACATGCCATTCCTAGGGAAACTGCATATCCAAGGCATGCATCTACACTTGAGAAAGTGTACTGACTTGTTACCGTGCTTATGAAACACATASACTTTACTTTTTAAATGTGTAAACTTGAAAACAAGTAGTGCCTATCATCTTTCCAAGATGATGATGGTCAGAGGTTTCCCAACCATATTCAGGTATTTCCTTTTATTTATTGAAAGAACTAAACCTTTGACTGATAATACTAGGGTTGGGTGTTTGCACAGAAGCTGAAGCAAGAAGCACTAGTTTAGTTTGTATTTTAAAGAGAGAGCATATGCTGACAGTCACACTGACTGTGTTTGGGATCAACAGAGGAATGTAGGGATGGGTGAAAACGCATCAGCACTGAATGGGTAGATGCTGTTGGGTTGTATTGGGAAAGGGAATCATCTGTCCAAAGTGCCAAAATCGGTTGCCCAAATAGTAATTCTGTGGATGGCTGAAGGGAAGCAGTGGTGCCCTGCCTTTCTCAAGGGCAGGGAGAGCTGGAGAGCGATTACCAAGTACAGGGGCAAGAAGAGGGGAGCTGCATGTGTGTAAAGTGTGTGTGAGTGTGTGTGTATGTATATATATACATATCTATATATATGCACACTGCAGATGAATGTTGTACATACCTTAGTCTGAAATAGCTGTGTGGAGCTGTGTGGTTTCTTCCACATTTGCATCTTCCCAGCATTACGCTTCCCGCTGTTGGTGAAAGGTTCTGTACCTCTTTCAGCAGMCGAGATCTGAGCTTATGGATTTCTGTACAAGAGGTACTGACAGGGTTTTTTCTCAGTCTGGATTTAGGCAATACCATTTCACTTTTTGTTTTCCTTTAATGCACTGTTCTAAAGGAAAGAAATTGGTAGCAGTCACTTCAAGAGTTTAATTACACTCTTCAATGTTTCCTGCTTTTTAGGGTGATTTCCATTGCAAAACTAGCAAATTTCAGTTTTTCTTTGGGGAACTTCTTGAAATAAAAGGTTGAGTTTTTTTCATTCCATTGAGCTTTATTTTTGCCGACAAAAAACAGTTTAGACAAAAAAAATGTCATTCCACTGTGGAATGTTTTTTGTAATGAAAAAAGCAATCACAGGAACTATAAAAAGTAAAAATTCTTGATGGTTTTTACTAGATCAGACCCCCAATATTGTTTGACACATTTCAAGAAGCAGAAGCTGCATTTGTTTCATCCATACTACCTCTCATCCTTGTACAAATTTTAGAAAGAAACTAGAGAATATAAGGGKTTTTCAGGGTACTAAGAAAAGTTCTTTAGAATATTTTTCATAAAGTATTTTTAAAATTTTTTTTGTTCTTACTTTAAAAGAGTAATTTTCTTACAAGTTTCTGTGGTTTTATTCCCCCAGCCCCCCCCTCCCCATTTGACACTGAGTGACAGCGATAGGAGGAGAATAGTTCTGGGAAATAATAGGCAAAT